AACTGGGGAGCTGAGCAGGGCAGGGAAGCTGGTCCTCTGCAGGGCAAGAGTGCCCAGGGTGAGGGGCTTTAGTGGGGCAGCAATAGTGCAGGGTGGGAGAGAAGTGACAGGGTCTGGTTGTGGCCTCCTGGGGGGCACAGATGGACCAAGGAAGATCCAGCCATGGGTGTTGGGCTGGTTTTGGTTGTGCAGGGCTCACAGAGCAGGTCCACAAAGTGAAATGGGACATGGTTGGGCAAGATGTGCAGGTGGGACGGGGGCTCAGGGCAGCATGAGAACAAGCACAGCAAGCAGAGTGACCCTGGGGAAGGAGGGAGGGACGGGGACAGGGAGCTGGAGTGTCCCAAGGGCCATGCAGGCGAGGAGGAGCTGCCCTGGAGACAAAAAGCACAGGTCCCAGGTCCCAGGAGCAGAGCAGGCAATGGCAGCTGGCAGCAGCCAAGGGGTGTGGAGAGAACAAGAGGGAGCCGAGACTGGGGGGACATGTTGGTGGGCTGGGACACAGGGAGGGGAGGCATGGGGCTGGCACCTGGAAGGGCAGCGTGTGCAGGTGAGGCTGTGGGAACATGGAGGAGGGACAGGGACAACGAGGGCTGCAGGAGGACGGGGAGCTGCAAGGGGCCGGGGGCTGAGGAGGTGAGGGAAGAGGGGCAGCTGTGAAGGGGGCTGGGGATGGCGAGGAGGAAGGAGGGAGCTGGGGGAGGAGCAGAGCATGGGGGAGAGCAGCGCAGGGGCTGGGGCCTCTCGGCTGCAGTGGAAAAGCTGCTGCAGCTCCAGGGGAAATGCTACTTGAATTAATCATGGCGCTGGCTGCTGTGCCAAGCCCAGGAGGAGGCTGCTGGCAGTGCAAGGAAATAACTTTCACAGGAATTTGGAACAAATGCAGCTCTTCTGGCGGTAACAACAGCACTCACCTCCCCCACAACCTCCCCATGTACCAGCATCTCCCCCATGTCCCCACTTCTTGTGCACCCCCAGACTCTCCCACATTACAGCCTGCACTACCAGCAGCTTGATGTGCTCCCTCCCTTGCACTGCTCCCCAGCAAGCTCGCAGGAGTCTCCCTGTCTTGCCTTCTTGTTTCTGATGAGGGGGAGGCCTAGTTTATGTCATGCTAAGGTCTGAAAATAGGTTAATGCTGAATCCCTTGTCCCAGTAAAATGAGCACATGCAGTACTGTCCTCCCCATCTCCTGCCACTCTCTTTGGCAGCAGCCAGTGAGTGTTGCTGCCCTTGCTGCTCAGTCCCTGAGCACAGCTACTCCCTGTGTCCTCTCACAGCCACCCCCTCCAGCAGCACAGCCCATGCATCAGAATCATCTGTCAAGACTTTCCTTCGGTCACACACCACATATGGCCTGGTCCAGCCTACAGCACTTAATGCAGGTCCACCTATCTGGGGCACAGCCCAAGAGGCTCTCCTGGTGCTGAGTGGGCAGCACTCCCAGCCCCACAGAAGCACAGAACAGTACCCAGTTGTCAAAATTCATCAGACTTGAACTCAAAACTGCAAGATACTAAGACATCAGATTATACATTAGGTGTATTGCTGGCCAGTTTTTGACCTCTGATGTTCTTGTTCCCCAGCAATTGTGTTTATGAATGCAAAAGAAAAACATAAATCCTGGTTAAAAACCCATTAATATTGGATATATGCAAGAATCAATAACCCACCATCTCATCTCATTCACATTTCTGTCAAATCAGCCTGTGCTCACAACATGGGGTTTGCAGAGCTCTGTGTGCTGTTTGCTGGCTGCCAGAGGACAGACAATACTCGATTTAGCATGAGAAGTTAGAAAGGCCCAGAAAGACAATATCTGACCATGCATGCAGCTTGCTGGTACAAAGTCAAATGTTTAAAACAAATTTATGCCAGCAGGGTGAATTTATACCAGAATAGTGCTTCACATCATGTACCCATAGCATTTGAATGCAGTCTGATGAGCCATAAAGCTTCCATATTATCAGCTTCTGGCCACAGAGAGAAACAGAGACAAGCAGTTAGTGACTGTCCCTTACTCTGCTTTCTGCTTCTGTCATGTTCTCTGATTCCCTGGGCTCCTTCTCCACTGGTGTTTCTCTCTCAGTCTTTAACTGTGAGTTTGCTGTTTCCTTTGCTTAGTGCTCGTGCAGAGTCTGCTACTGTGGGATCTGGCCCATGATAAACATGAGCAATAAATAAAGATGTTACCAGATCCTTTTTCTTTCTGGGGAGCTTGGGCCATCAGCCTACTCTGCTTTGCTCTGTTCATACACCAAACACAGGGATTGACCTGGCAGAGAGGATGGGGTATGCAAGGGAGCAGGAGACCTGCAGCTGTGCTTCAAGTCTCTTCTGGTCACTCACACAGACTTGCTACTTCCCTGTCTACAGAGAGCAGACATCACCATCTGAAAATAGACCTGGTCCTACCAGGTTTTTTTGCTTGGAAACATGGCAGTCCAATAGAGATGGAACCTGTTTGGTCCTGTGCTGCCTTTGGAGGCTGCCCTGTGTCCTGCACTTCACGCTGGCAGGGCTTGCCCATGGCCTAAGCTCTCATGACCATCATGTGGGTCTGGACCAAATGCAGACCTTGGCAGAGACCCACCTCCCCAGGTGAGGATGAGCCCGGACACCTTGAAGCCATGGACAGAAGTAGCTGAGTGGGAGCGACTGCACACAGGGGCTGTGGGGCTGCACACCTGACGTGGCTGACAGCCTTTTGAGACATGGGGCCAGCTGCTGACCTCCATGGACCCTGGCAGCACCTCTGGAGCCCTCCTGTTCGGGGACACGGGGTGCGATGGCGGAGCCGTGCCCTGGGCGTTGGGCTCCCCCCCCCAGCCTGGCCAGCCTCCTTTCCCAGCCTCCTTTCCCAGTCTCCTTTCCCTGCCTCCTTTCCCATCCTCTCACGTTTCCCGGCTCAGAGGAAGCAGCAGCAGATGTGAGAGCTGTTTGCTTTGTGCCGAGGCCACGCGGGAGTTACCTGCGCTCGGCCCAGACTCGCTGTTTCCAAACGAAACACGAGGGCCGAGCCAAGACCATGGAAGCCCAGCCAAGCCCTCGGTGGCCGCGGCCGCTGCGCCAGCCCCTCTCCCTGCGCCGCGCAGAGCGGGGCTGCCCCAGCACTGCCCAACCCCACGACAGCCAGGCAGCCACACGCTGGACCTCCCCATGCCACCCCACGGCCCCAGCTCCTCTGAAGGCCCCACTCCCCCTCCGGCCTGTCCCCGCGCTGCGCCAGGGGCCCGGCCGCCATCTCCGATTGCATTTCCAGAACGCCTTCTCACACGGAGCGGCACCGCGCAGGAAGGCACGGAGAAGGAGGGAGAGGGAGGCCTCCCTTCAGGGGCTGCCACAGCCCAGACGTCCCTGCACACACTGAGGCCTCCATGCTCATCCAGGGACATGCGGATCCTCCGCCCTGACCTGAACCCCCCACCCTTGACCCCTTCCTCACCTCTGTCCCCATCCCCGGTCCTGTCCCCATCCCCATCCCCACCCACTTGGGACACTGTGGAGTATTGTCCTGTACAGACCAAATCCAAATCTTCCCCCACCCAAAGCTTCACTCCTCATCTCTCACCCATGTCTTCTGCCCAGACTCCCCCCCTGACCCATCCCCTACCCCCCTAGATCTGCCCCATGTCCCTTCTCTATTCTGCACCCAGCCTTTGCTCCCACACAACTCCTTTCCCACACACTCCTTGCCCCCATTCCCTGCACTCACTAGCCCCTCTCCAGCCCTCCCACCCCATACCATCAGCCCCCCTGCCCGCATACTGCCACACAGCCCACATGCTCATGCCCCCATGCCCCAGCAGCCCACCTACACCCAGAGATCACTTTTCTCACCACCTCCGCTTCCTCCTCCAGGCCTATCTGGAGGCCCTTTTCCCTGGCCAGGTTACAGAACTTCTTCCTGCCTTGTCTCAAGGGCCCCAGAATTCCGGCTTCCCCTTGTCCTAGCCCCATGGGCACAACTCACCACCTGGCCCCAGAGCCCCTCGTGGCCCCAGCCAGACATCCCAGTACCCTAGCTCCTCAGAATTGCCCCAGACTCCAAAGGTGCTTGTCCTGATGGGCAGTCTAGATGCTGCCTGGCTTGGCAGTGCCTGGCTCCATTAGTGCCTCAGCCCCCCAGCCCCGTGTTCCCCCATCCTGGCTCAGAGGTGCTGTATTACCCAGCAAGCAGGGCACCAGGGCCTGAGCACTGAAACACCAAACGCAGGGACACCAAGTGTACAAAATGCAGATGGCATCATGGGCATATCCCGGGGCCTGAAGGACCTGCCAGAGGGCAGCACCTCTCCAGATGGCCTCCCCACACAAAGGCTGGTGGAGCACGTCTCTCAACTCAAATCCCACAGATGCTCTTCCCAAGGTAACACATCAATACCAGCTGTGCATGATTAATGCTAACGTTCACAACCAGCCTTACAAAGCTGATGAACTTTGGCTAATGACCTCACAGGAGGAGCGAGACATCAGCAGCTTGGCTACAAGCAGCTTCCCAGAGGAGTTACCCCTGTTCCTGAGCACCATTTTCAGTGTCCTGGCCTGCAAGGCAGCTCCACACTTCCCAGGCCTGGCACAGTGGGCCCCAGTCTTTGCTGAGGTCAACACTGTCCTCAGCACATGCTTGAGGTGTGCCCAGTGTCACTGACACGTCTGGTACTGGCATGCAGGAAGGGAGTGACAGGCTCTGCCCCACTCCTGACTCACACTGAGCACAGGGGTCTCTGTTCCAGCATTTCTGCCCAAACAGCCTAGGGACAG